GGCTTGACTTTTTTACCGCTATATTTCTTTCAAGGCGAGCTATTGCGCCTCTTTTGTTCCAACGTACGTGGCATTGATGATCCCAATCAAAAACAAAACACGTTATGGCGAGCCATCATTGTTTCTGGTGCGTCATTTTGCAAAGGGTGTGCGGGCAACATGTCAGGCACTTGAAGACTGTGATGAGCAGATACTGGCAGGGATGATGCAAAACCCAAACTCATCTTTAAAAAAATTTCTTTTGGAAATTTATGGGGAGGGAGACGCCGCACCATCTCTGGATAATGTGCGACCTATCAGTTGTGTTCTTCTTATTGTATCAGCGCTCTTTGACAAGGTTTGTCTTATTCTTGGCCACACTGCGAAGGCACAAACCACCATCGCCACTGCCTCCAGGCAAGAACGGATTGCACGTTTCCAGGCGTATTTTTCCGCACTTATTAATTTGCTGCGGTGTCGCTCGCGCCCTGTGCTTCATCGTGTGTGCGCCTCAGTAGAAGCAGTCATACTGGAGCACCTGCACGGTGTTCCGAGGGCTCAGTTGCAGTGGATGAAGTACACCACAGCTACGGTGGACTTAATTGAGGGAACGGGTAAAAAAGAGTTGGTGGAATGGCTTCTGATGTTGGAGGAAAAGGCAAGAGGTTCCATTCCCCATTCTCAACTCTAGCTCGTCATTTGGTGAGAGGGGAGGGGTGTTGAAATGTGTGAGTCAAAAGAAAGGGGTTGAGAGATCAAGAGGCCAGTAGTGAATTATGTGGCACTTTCTGTTGTTGTTTCAGTTGAAAATCCCAGTGTGTCTTTAGGAAGCGAGGGTTCATTGGTCTTTCTCCCCCGAAAAACGGCAAATTATGGTGCACCGTGTGAGCGATCGTAGCGCTCCTATATATATATGATAATAATAATAATGTGTGTGTTGGCGATTTTTCCTTCGAGTGGGGTGAAATCCCTTTATTTGAGGGGTGAATGCAACAAAGCTCTGTTTCCTTCCTCTGTTCCTTTTTGCCACTTGTCATATTTTTTGCCAATGACTATATATATATTATGACCTTATTACTATTTTTATGTTCATGCCCATAGTATTTTTTTGGTGCCTTTTTTTTTCTTTTGAGAAGGCATTGCATTTGTGACAGCAGGCGATAGGGCGAGGCACCGTCTCTTTGAAATTCATGCTAAAAAGGAGTGGCACCATTTGCTCATTGCAAAGCGTTGTCCGGGGAGCAGCAAAAATCGCGGCGGCAATTGTTGATGCCAGCGTGGGAAACGTGAATGTTGTGGACAACAGCCATAACGGTGAGGGAGGGACCCCCGCTCGTGCCGCTGGGCGGAGCCACACCTCGTCGCCTCCCGAGGTACTGCCGAGGAGTGTGGTTACTCAGTTGCATGAATCCAAGGACGACTTAAGGAAAAATGCTGTGTATATGTCTGTGCCTTCTACACGTATTACTAGAGCCGCTGGATTTGCGTCGCTGTTTGTGCAGCTTGGTTGGGATCATCTTGTGGACCGCAATGGTGAAGGTATTTTGTCGAGCCAAAGCCACAAACGTGTTGTTAACACACTGCGTCGGATGCGTGGGGTGGTGTTGAAACTTGGGCAGATGCTCAGCATCCAGGACCCTGCTACTGTTCCTCAATATGTGTTGCAGCTATTTGAGCAGGTACGTGACAGTGCCTACGCTATGTCGCGCGAGCAACTTGATCAGACTCTGGCGAAGGAATACGAAAATATTAATTGGAGAAAAGATTTTTTTCTGGAGTTTGATGATGAACCCATTGGCGCGGCCAGCATTGGACAGGTACACCGTGCAACCATCAAAGGAGAGGGCGACACACAGATTGAGCATGTTGCCGTGAAGGTGCAGTACCCTGGTGTTGCAACAAGCATTGATTCTGATATTGCGAATCTGAAGATGCTGATTTCTTTGCATTTGCTTCCTCCAGGAATGTTTGTGGACAGAATTTTGCAAGACCTTCGTCAGGAATTTTTGTTGGAATGCCGCTACAAGATAGAGGCAGCAAAGCAGGTGCGGTATGCCGCTCTGATCAAGCAGGAACCAGAATTGCAAGAGGTGTTTGTTGTCCCAAAAGTTTACGAGTCCCTCTCAACAGAAAACGTGTTGGTGACGCAGTTTGTTACCGGTATTCCTGTTGACCGACTGGCGAACATTTCAGGTGTGCAGGATCTAAAGAATTACGTGGCTGAGCGTATGCTTCTGCTAACGCTTACCGAACTTTTCCGCTGGCGTTTTATGCAAACGGATCCAAATTACGCCAATTTTTTGTTTGATGCAGAGAAAAACAAAATCAGTCTTATTGACTTTGGTGCGGCCCGTGAGTACAGCAAGGAGTTTGTCAAGGACTACATGGATGTTGTTGCCGCGGCCGCTCGTCAGGACCGTGACAGAATCATTGAAAAGAGCATCAAGTTGGGTTTTCTCACCGGGAATGAGATGAAGCCAATGTTGGATGCACATGCCGCCAGCGTGGAGCTGCTGGGAAGACCGTTTCGGCACCACGACAAGCCGTTTGACTTTTCAGCGGAAAATCTTCCCTCAAAGATTCAGGAACACGTGCCAACTATAATTAAGCTACGGTTACGCCCACCTCCTACGCCGGTGTATTCGCTCCATCGACGGATTAGTGGGATTATACTGTTGGCCACGAAACTAAAAGCCACTGTCAATTCGGGAGAAATGTTTTGGAATATTTATAACAGCTGCAGGACAAACTATGAGTGATTCGGAATTTTGTTGTTGCTGTTGTTGATGATATTTGCTTTTCTCTGCATTTCTGTCCGTGTTCTCTGTGTGATTAAATTAGAAAAGCATGCAATTTTTTTTTTCCCGCTACGTCACACATGCACATTCATTTACGCACTCGCTCTCTTTTATTTCTTTTTTTTGTTTTGTTTTCAGCGTGGCTGCGTGGGTTATGTCTGCTTCCCGTGTCTTATTGGCTTTTTTGTTGCTTTTTTGTTTTCCGTGCTTTTCTTCGGGAAGCCTGTGGCTTTTGGTGTGTAAGGGGTGGAAAAGGAGGAAGTGAACGCCTCTCTTGCCTTCCCAGACCGCTTGTAAGAATTGTGGCGAAGAAACCAATTTCAGTGATTTACAGTGCTGTTGTTCCCTCACTGTACAGGACGCACAGGCAAGAGTAGAAGGTTGAAACGCCTAGGTTTGTTTAGATTTTTGGTAAAATAAAGTGAGAGGAAGGGAAGAAGTGGAAAAGAGGGACTACACGAGAAAAAGGCAAAAGGGAAGTGCCAGTCTGTCTGTGTGTCTGCGCGTGTGGAGTTTTGAGGTGAAGTAAAAAGGGGTGGGGGAACAGGGGAAAAGGAGACAACATGCAACAGTCACTTAAAAACCAGGAGCACATATGGGCCGTGCTTCAGAAGATGCGGATGGAGATGAATGAGTGCTTCGCGGAGCATGAGAGAATGCTTCGACAGGCGCACGGACAACTAAAGGAGCGTTTAGATAAAATTGAGTCTGCTTTTGTCGCCCGTAACGGCGGAGTCGGACAACTTGTGGGGAATTCTTCAAGCAGCCTGGGGCATCTGGACCACGCCACGCCCGTATATACACGGTTTGTTTCCGACAAAAAAGGGAGTCCGGCGGGAATGCGCGTCACGATGCTCTCCACACCACCCAATGAGCGGATGCAGCTTATGCCCCCGGATTCCCGTGGGGCGAGGAGTGACGTTTTGCCACAGCCAGTAGATCCCACGGATTGGGTAGCGTTGGCGGCCCCCAGCCGTCAAGAAGCCACACCGGCGGTCTCCCCGCATAACCGGTGGACCAACGATGATTCGATCCATGCTGAAAAAACCCCTTCTGTAGATGCCACCTGTTTTGAGGCGCTCAACAACCTAATGAATGATGACGATTTTCAGCATTCCACGTTGGAATCTGTGATTCCATCTTACACTCAAGATGACGACTCAAAGCAGTTGCAAAGTCAGCCGAATTTAGGTACATACACGAAGAAGAATGATATTATCCACATGGGGGCACCAGGCTCTTCGCAAACTCAGCACTTCACGAAGAGTTTAAAGGTTACATATATGGATGGCCGCCCGCAGGCTGTGCCCATTCCGGATGGACCTCCGGATGAACCGGATAAATTGGGCATCGATGTTAACGCTCAATGTAAGGTTTTGGTTGAATTTAAGCGCAAACGTGTACTGCAGTTTGAGTCAAAGGAGTACGTTCCGCCCGGCAGCTACGTCATGGTGGGTGGCGACCGCGGTGAGGATCTTGGGCTTGTGACATACACGTGGTGTGAGACAACGAAGTCCTTAAAAGGTGAACTTGGTGAATTTGGCAACGGCAGCAACAAAACCGTTGTTTTGTGTGTTGGGCTTACCGGTAGTACTCTCACCCGCAGTATTGGTCTTGGTGCAGGCACTGTGTTGCGACTTGCAGATGATTCCGATGTGAAACAGTTGCATACTGTGCAAGTGGAACTTGAACGACGTGCCATCGACGTCTGTTCCCAGCGTGTCCTCGAGCGTGGGCTGCCCATGACCATCGTGGACGCCGAGTACCAGTTTGATAAGAAGAAACTTACATTTTTTTACGAGGCGCAACAAAGAATGGACTTTCGTGAGTTGGTGCGGGATCTTTACAAATCGTTCCGCGCAAGAATATGGATGGAGCTGGTGGAGAACTGATTGAGCTGAATTGAATCTTTTTTTTTTACTTATTAAAATAATATATATTACTTCTTTTTAACTTCACTCGTCATTTCACGTAGATAACTTAAGACAAGAACGAGAATCAGGCGGAAAAAGAAGAAAAGAAACGAAAAAAAAAAAGAAAAAGAGAGAGAGAGAGAGAAAGAGAAAGAGAAGATGCATGAAGATGATGTCATTCACGCAAACCAATAGAGGATTCGGGGCAAAACCAACAACAGCGAGGAAACAACAATGACAGATAGGGAGAGAGAGAAAAGGGGAATGGAGGTAAGGGACAGAAGTCATGTGCACGGACTTTTGTAAGAGGGTGTGGGGATCGATGGCCGTTGGTGGCCCTCCAAATTTGCTCCATTTATTTCTTTATTTTATTTTATTTTGATTTTATTTAATTTATTATTATCATCATTATTTCTTGTGTGTGCGTGTTTTATTCGATTTAATTCCCTCAGCGCAGCGTGGCGAGAAGGTGGCGGGGAGGAGTAATTTATATTATATCTTATATATATGTATAAGAGGAGAAGCAGAATATAAAAAAAAGAAGAAAATAATAATAATAATAATAATAATAATAGAAAAGTGACTAGGAGCATGCGAGTAAAATACGGCAAACAACATCCAAAGGGAAAATAATCCCCGTTCTTTCACCCGATTTTGAAATTATAACAAAAGAAAAAAAGAAAAAAAAAATAGCAAGTGAAAGAAAGGAGTAAACATGTGGTGTCACTATGGACACACACACACACGCACAGAGAGAGAGAGAGAGGGAGAAGGACGCAGACCCGTTTTTTGGTTAGGTGTGCATCACTTTGCTAACAATGGAATAAATGAATATGGCGGAATATGTTTGAGTTTGTTTTTTTTTCTTCTTTTTCTTTTGTTCTTTACTTTCTGCCACCGGTCCGCTTTTTCAAACATCTGCACCGAGGGAGGGGGGGGTTGGCGCTTGCGGGACCGGAAAGGCTTCCATTTTGATAGTTCCCAACGAGCCCATTTATCGTGGCGTATGTCTTTTGAACTCATTTGTTTATGGGTGCATGTGCGTTGGACAATTCACATGTTAAGGGGAGAATGAGGGAGAGGGAGTGTGTGTGTGTGTGTGTGGGATGTTGAGTGTATTGAGCCAAAATATCATCTTCTCTTTTTTGTGTTTCTCCCCTTTTTGTGAGAGTTGAGGGAATTGGGCCTCGGCCAGGAGCAATTATTTCTATTTCCATTTCTATTATTATTTCTTGTTTATATTCCTGCACGCATGCACGCAGAGAGTGTGAGTATGCGTGCGTGTGTAATGTATGGTCTTGTAATGGAGTTGTATTTATCTTTTTATGTGTAGGAAGTTCTTTCTTTCTTTTATTTTATTTTATTTTATTTTATTTTTTTCTTTTTTATTTTCCCTCCCCCCCTTTTTTTTCCATTACATTTGCACCAAAAGAGCTGATAAATCGTATATTTCCATGCGCATTTTAGTTTGGAAGCGTCTCTGTTTTTTTTATTTTTGTCTGTTTGTTGTTGTTGTTTTTATTCGGAGACACTCTCAATACGCATTTCTCCTTTGGTGCCCTCTGACCGTTTGCCACATGTAGCCCGCAGGCGGTTGTTGTTATGGCGGTGAGGCAGGTCGGAAATTTTTATTTCAATCCTTAAAAAAAAAAAAAAAAAAATTCTCTTTACTTCCCGCTTTTAAACGTCATGAATATATTATATTATATTACATATATTCATATGTATTACTTTTCTTTAGGCTCTGTTCACCGACTATGTGTGTTTGTGTGTGTGTGCGTGTGTGTGTGTGCGCTCGAGAGGCCGTGGTTTTGTAAACATGGTTCAGTTCCGTAATGATTTTTGGTGTTTCATTCTTTTTTTTTTTTTTTTTTTGTGTGTGTGTGTGTTTCGTTTTGTTTTTGATATAATTTATTGTTATGTTTTTTTGTTTTATTATTATTATTGTTGTTTATTATTTATTATTATTATTATTATTTGTGCTCTGTTTCTCTTTCATAGTCAGTACGGTAGCTTATTCCCTGCGGTTTTGTGATCCTTATTGTCTTTCTCCATCTCAAATGGCGTCTCGCGCGTGGGTGGACGATGCGGATCGCGATGTGGAGGAGCAGCTGCCTGACTTTGTGAAGCAGTCGCATGTGCTGCCCGCATGGGCCACCGTCTCGTCATCGTCCAAATTAATGATGGCAGCTCAAAAGCGATTCCGCGACGAGGACTTGGACGAACTTCTCGCGCGGACGGAGCCACTGCTGACATCGAAGCACGACCGAAAGTATTCTGCTCTTCCACCCGTGCTCTCCGTGCTTCCACTTCCGCGTGACTCCGCACGGACGGTTCAATGGCATCGCAACGGGCAGCTGGCGGTGGTGGGTGGCAATCACCACTTGTATCTTTTTAATGCCGCCGGCAGGTTTGTGGAGCAGCTTTCCAAGACAGATGTGGAGAAGCGAATCGAGTGCACCGCTCTTGAGGCCTCGGGGGAAGACGTCTTGATTGTGGGTCACCAGTCCTACACACCAGATCTATTGGTGCTCTCAACGGAGAAGCTAATCCCACTGAAGTTCCTTTTTACCCGCGACTCTGCCGTATATCGCAATGGCCGACGTGATAATGGCAAGCATGACTTTTACATCACTAATGTCGCTTTGCCGGCAACCAATTCTTCCGCCAGGCTAGTGGGTATATCAAGCGGAGCCACCGTGACGGTCGGATCCTTGTCGTCTGGCAGTGTCACCCACCGCATCGAGATGAGCGATCCAGTGGTAGACATCCTCTTTTCAGGAGGCCCACATGAATTAACCGTCGCAACTCGTACTAAATTGTCGGTGTTTGATTTACGCAAAAGTGCCCAGTTTCTGCGTGAAACTTGTGATGACGGCACTGTAGACATCACAACATTTGCAACCTCTGACTCTGCCTTGGCCGTGGGCTCAAAAAGCGGTATTGTTAGTATTTACAACAAGGGCTCTTCAGGACCTGTGAAGATTCTCAAGAATTTGACGACAAGCATTAGTCATTTGGCATTTGGAGAACGCAGCAACGGTGACGCCACCCTTGCATACTCTACCAAGGGCCAGAAGAGTGGATTTCGTCTCGCTGCTCTCCCGGAGTGCCGTGTTGTGCCGTCTTTCCCCCCTATTTCGCAGAGGCATCAATTTATTCAGAGTCTCACAATAGCCCCGACCATTCCCGTGTTGTCTGTTGGTGAAAAGCAGAAGGTCACGAACTACGCATTGTGACCGGGGGGAGAAGACACCCGAATAAAAAAAAGAATAAAAAGCAAAGAGAGAGGGAAAAGAATGCATGTCGTTTAAGACGTTTTTAAACCCACGGGGAGCAGGGAACTGAATCACGGGGGAAAAAGCGAGGACAAAAAATTGAAGGGGAATTTAATAAGAAAAATTTGTTGTTGTTTTGGCTATATTATTTTTCTTTTGACCTTTTCCTCAGTGGAATCAGGCTGGTTAAAATGTCAAGGATGTCGTCTCTCATTGTTTCCCCTTGTATGCGTCTTTGCTTGTTTCCTTGTATCTAAAGAAATTAGCGTGCTTTTTCTTACACCCGTCGCCGTGCTTCGTTCATTGGTGTCGTGTTTTTTTTTTTTTTTTGGGGGGGGGGGGGGGGAGGGGGGTTGCGCACGCGTGTGTTGATTTATTCTCTTAAAAGTGTGTGAAGAAAAGAAAAGGAAGAGGCGTTTGCCTTTATCTTTGCTATGGTACAAAATAGAAAACGGAAGAAGTCCAAAGCAGGTGATGTCCCCATGCGTATTGCACTGAACTACGAAGCAGTTCTTCCGCTCGTGCTTGTGGATAATATGGACGAGGTGCGGGCCAAATACAAACCCTACAAAATCATTGAGGAGGGACTGTCTGAGGATAGTGCAGATGACGAGCATACGGTTTCAAAAGGGCGACTAGCTACCTCTCAACCATCGAGAAAACGAAGTAGGATGCCTTCTACAGTTGATGCGGTTGCCAAAGGCTTTGCTTTGCCTTCGGCTCGTGTGGGCTGGGGGGCGCAGGCGTTGCGCGAGAGCACTCCATATGGATTATTACGGCGCCGTGATCTCTTCGATCGTTGCTGCTACATCATGGACCTTGAGGACTACGTGTGGTGCCATGAAAAAAAGGTCCCTATTCCTTTTTTTGTTGATGCAATCACAAAGCTGGAGAGGAAATATGTTATGCATCTTGAAGCTGCAGCTCGAGGGAGTGAAGCGCCGACAAACGTGGATGTTTTTAATGGTGCTAATAATAATAATAATAATAATCTTTACCTGTCGGGGGAAAATAGGGTGGAGTTATGTGGCGTTTGTTCGCTACCGGAGCTTTCTGAAGAGTCTGAGTGTTTTCTTCATTGTAGAAGATGTGGGTGTCAGGCACATGTGAAGTGTTGGATTTTAGAGGCTTTACCACCGAATGCAAAAAACTGGCTTTGTCCATGCTGCGTAGTGGCGCGACGTGAGAAAGGCGTCGGGCGTTGCCATTTCTGTGGGCGAAAGGGTGGTGTGATGCTGCCGTTTGTTTCGGGTGTTGGGTGGAAAAGCGAGAGTTCCGTTGGGAAATTCCTTTTCTGTCACATTGTGTGTTCTCTTGCTCTCGAGGAGTTGGCCATTGATGCGAAGAAGCGTGTGGTGCATCCCGTAAAGCGTTCAAGGAAGTCCAATCATTTGGCTCGTTGTGTGTTCTGCAACAGTGAGAGTGCGGGGGCGTGTGAGAGATGCCATCATCCTCGTTGTTTTGATTCGATGCACCCTTCTTGTGCACAACAGGCCGGCACCTTAGAGTGCTACCGGGCCCCGCATGCCATAAGCGCCACTGGCCCATGGGATGGATGTCGCTTTTATTGCCGTGCGCACTTTGGAGTGGTGGTGGAATCACCGTCAGGTTTTGCAGGAATAGGGGAGTTTGCAGAAGCCGAAGCTCTTCGCCATGTGAATTTTGCAGACTTTGTTGACGAGAAAAGACCCGTGCGGAGGGGAAGACCCCCGAATGCCAGGGTTACGCCGGCTGCTTTGGATGCAGTCAAAAAGTATTGGGTTGAAAAACGTCTGCAACGGCTTCATGATGGTGTGAAGATTGTGGAAAACGTTCAAGGAGGCCGATGTGATATTGTTTCTGTGTCACTTCGACCCGAAATCATGAAGATCACGCCAACAGAGGTGCGCCTTGCACGTTTTGTTTGTCTCATACCGGAACTACAGCATTATATTAATGCCAGCGTTGAGGGAGTGCTGCCCATTCCTGACGAGGAGTACGATGACGTGGAGGAGTACAGGAAGGCTCACTCCCGCACCCGCTACGCAGGTAACACACGGAAACTCTATGAAAAGATGCAGTCTGTTGCTTCTCATATTAATGTCTTTTGTGAGCTTGCAGAGTTGCTGCACCAACGTGCCGTGGTGTGGCGGGAGTTGTTGGAGACAGATCTACAGGTTCTGGAGGCGCGCTGTCACTGGGGAGCCGAGGCAAATTAACGATTGGGTGGTTGACTGGATTCGCTTGAAAGAAGGGCCGAATTGGAAGCAGGCAAAAAAAAAAAAAAGGAATGGGGAAGTGAAAAACCGACGGAAGACCGGCACATTTTCATTTATTTATTTAACGAGTGCAGGATGAACACGAGAACCTACGTTGGAATTGCTGCAAGAGGATTAAGGGCTTATAGAAGGAATGTGCGCTCCTATGAGGCCGAATAAATGAGTGAAAGACTTGTGTATCGAAAGGTCCTGGTTTTTTTTTTTTTTTTTGGAGCGATAAACAAGAGAAGAGATGTATAGATGTAGAGAGGGCTTTCTCTCTCCTTCTTTCTTTCTTTCTTTTTTTTGCCGTTTTTGATTATATATATATATATATTTTTTTTTTCAACAGAAATTGAATTCCTTTTCTTGATTTTTTCTAAATCTTTTTTGGGACAAGAAACGGGGACTGGAGAAGGGGGTGACGAAGGCGATGAGGGTGCGAACTTATCACCGACACCGAGTCAACCGGAGCAGCCCCCTCCTTGCCGCACTTTTAACCATTAACTCGGCATACTCACTCTTTTTTGCCGTGCCTGTTGTTGCCGTGTCCCTACGAAAACGCTGGAATGACGGGATTACTTCGAGTCAGAAGACATGGTGTGTCTGCATTGCAGTCTTGTGGTTTGTGGCAGAGCTCTTTCGTCTGTATTTGGGCTACTTTGGTAACCAGCAGCAGCACTTGCCATGTCTTTTTCGGTTTGTCGGATTAACATTGTTGCCTCAACTTTCAGTCGTGATCCTTTTCAATGCTCTGTGGCCGCAGCGGGACTCGCTTGACTACGCCCTTAGCGTTACGATGCTCATGCTACTTGTGGCAGAGTTTTTGTGCTCAGTTTATCTAATACGAATACTTGTAAAAAACAAACAGGTGGATTTCTTTGTCTATAGTGGGCAGTTGGCACGCGAGGAACGACACTTTTAGAATTGACGTCTCCACTCTGGTCGAGCAACGGTGCTTGCTCATTATACATGTGTGTATGTATATGCATATATATATTGGGTGGAGGGTGCGAGTTTGTCGGCATATCTTGAGAGAGAGGGAATGTGGATCCTGTTGCTGTTTGATGGAGATGGTTGACGGGGGCGGGGGTCCTAAATTTTCACAGTGGCGTTGGCTGGAGGACATTCTTAACTGGGGAAGCTTTTGCTCTTTGCAAGATCACTCGAATGGATGTGCATGTGCAGTTCCCAGCTTATGTTCACAGGGCGGAGTGTGGGTGTATTCTATCGTCTAACTTTTGACGTTATTTGGATGTATTATTATTATTATTATTATTAATTTCTTTGCTATTGCGAGCTGCGGGATACCTCTTTTTTTTTTTTTTTTTAAATCTCTTGTGCTCTCGATTGGCTAAATTGAAGGAGAGGCGGTCGCGCGGAGAGATTCTCCCTTTCTTTCTGTGCATGTGCGCGCGCAAGAAATGCTGAAGGAGCATAGTTTGGCTTTGCGCGAGTTGTTTGACAAAAGCTGCCCGTACATTGAGGACCGTGATAATTTTGTGGCATTATTTGCTCTCCGTGCACACCCATTCTACAGAGCGTTTGTCATTGTTGGTGCCAATGCGGATGCTGCCGTGCGGGTAACTCGATCACGCATGAAAGCAGCTCTGCGTGCCATGGAAGAGTGTAACCCCGCCATTGCTGACTTGGAGGGTGCCCTTCTTATGCATGAGGCGGAGTTGCTGTCGGCATCCAACACGATAAAAGATCTTCGATCCTCCATAAAAGAGGCGCAGGAAAAAGTGGAGAAAAGTGAGAAAAGCATGTGGAATGCATTCTTCTTGAAAGGGGAAGAAGGGAAGGAGCGGGAAATGCGTTCTACTTTGTCCGCAAAGCCCAACCTGCAGTTCTTGGAGCATCTTGAGGCGGCGCTTGAAATACTTGAAGGCACCGTGGGCCGTTGGCGACTACGTCTGGCACTTTGCAAAGAAGAGCTGGCGTTGTATAAGCAAGAGATGTTCATCTTTGGACGGGCAGGTGTGCTCTCCTGTTCAGATCCTGGAAAGGAACGAGAAAGGGACGACGAAAGGCCCCTCTTAGGGGAGAATGGCAACAGGAGCGATGACGTTACAAAAAAATACATGTTTCCTCCAAGAGAGGAAGGAAAACGGAACTCTCCTGTCGGCGTGGTGTATGTTGTGGATCGTGTAATCAAGAAGGCGGCAAGGAAGGTAACGGAAGCTCCATTGCATCAGGGTGTGCATTTATGGTCATTGATGTCCGGTGGCCGGGGGGTGGCGGGTTTTCGAGGGCCATCCTCTGCAGATGCGGCCACTCCGCAGTTTGTTTACAGTGCAGAGGAGGAGAAACGACTTACTGAGGCGAATCTTGTGCTTCAGGATCAACAAAAGACAGCCTCTGCGGAGGATGCCAAGGCGGTTGAAGCCTCCGTGCGTGAGCTGTCACAACTGACCTCCCTAATGAATGAACAGGTTGTGCAGCAGAACGAGCAGTTCTCTATTCTTCTTAAAAACACAGAGACGGCACATAATAACATGCATAAAGGAGTGATAGAAGTCCAGAAAACGTTATCCAAATTTTGGAATTCCACGCGCCAACTCATTTTGTGCCTCTGGGTTAGCACTCTGGTTTTGCTTGTTGCCAACTGGATAATCCGCTAATTAATTTATTGTATTGGGGGGTGATGGAAAAGGGGAGAAAGCAACTCAAATGTGCGTGTCTGTATGTCTGTCGAATGAATGGGAATAGGGCTTACTTCTCTTGGATGGCATAGATGTTATTCATGCTACAAAATACTAATATTAATGATAATAATAATATGCTTGTGCATTTGTAACGTGTAGGTCTCTTTTTTTATTTTATTTTTTTTTTTTTTGATTTTCTTGATTTTCTTCACGATACTTTTTTCTAAAAATACTTTACGAAGGGCCGAGGTGAGGTGTGTTTCCTCTCGTACACCGGATATTGAATGGCAATGCCGCTGTCGCACAGAAGTGTCAGTGCCAACGTCCCTGGTGTGCGTAGTCTGGCGATAGTCCTCCGTGCGTGTCCACCACCCTCTTTTCACTTTTTCAAGCGTTGGGGGATGCATGATTTCCATACGTCGAAATGGACGCGCCTAAATCCGTCCGCTAAGACAAAACGGACACTTCTTGGTCGTAGTTGTATTGATAAGCCGACAATGGACATGGTCTCCGTGAGCCGATATGGGGGTAATACACGGCGGGAGACGCTAGCAACGGCTTTTCGTCTGTATCGCAGCATGGATCAGTCTGAAAAGGCGCGAGAGGCCGGACAAGAGGCGCTTCGTGCAATTCGGTTTACAGACTTTTCTGTGGACGAGGAAGAGGAGGAGGATCTAGCGGTTGACTTTGCTTGCTTGTATCTGAATGCCTGTGTTTTGTTTGGCGTCGCGCCCACGCAGGAGATGATGTCGCAGCTGTTGAGTTGGCTCCCAAAGTCTCTTTATAGCTCGTTCCACTGGGAGTGTGTTCTGTGCGCCCTTGCCGTGTACCTGCGGCCCTCGGAGAAAACGGCGACGGCTGCAGCGACTGCAGCAGCGTTTGTCTGCATGATTCGTGGGGCCGAGTTGGGCACGGTGCCCGGGAGTCTTTCGCGCGACGGGAAGACCCTGCTGTTAATTGTCATTAACCGAGCGATCGATGTTTTGCTTCGAGCAAATGGGAGGGCGGAGGACCGTCAACATCTCCTAGAGGTGCAGCTGCAAACCATGGAACTGCTGTGTCCCACCACACCGACGCCAACGGCACCATCACCGACTTTCTCGAGGGAAGAGCGGTTGACACTGGTGGACACCATCTGTTGGCGCTACGCCGCGGGTGTTTCGCTCCCCATCGCGGCGAAGCTGGTGCCATTGCTGCAGGTCAAAACCCACGCGGAGCTGGAGGAGTTGTCAGTGTCGCAGTGTGCCAGGCTGTTCTGCGCTTTGTGCATCGCGCTCGCGACACAGGACTCTTCTGGAACAGAATGGACTTTGGAGCGGCATTCCCATGTTCTTGACTCCATTGTGCGACATCTTGACGAACGCGTCCGCGTGCACTCGGTGGATGACGTAGTGATTCTGTTGGTGGGACTGCAGGCAAATAGAATGGCGCGGTCACGGTACAAAAAGCTTCCTTCCTCGCTGCTTGTTCACCTTAGAGAACAGCAACAGCAACAACGATCCCGGCAAAATCAGGAGGCGGATCAGGTGTTTACATCCTTGAAGAGTGGCGACAGCTTGCTGGCTTTGTCGCATGTGCTTTCGCAGTTAGCAATGGATGCTGAAGATGCGTTGGCCGATGCAGCAGAGACATTTTTAACGGATTTGGTTTTATAAACACTTGGCGTGAACTGTACAAAATGAAACATGTTCACACAGAAATACACAGAGTGAGAGAGAGGGAGTGAAAGATGATGGGGGAAGGGGGAAAAAAGACTCTTTCTATTCTCATTTTTGGATTCTGTGGGTATCGTTTTTGTTTTTCTTTTGTGAAAGCTTTTGCGGGATCTTTTCTGTTTTTTTTTTTTTTCTTGTTTGTGTGTTTATATCTTCTTTGCACGTTGTAGTGGGTAGTAATTTTGTGGTTGCCACTTGGCGGTTTTTATTTTTTTGATATCGGTTCACGCGGCGACCCGAGTTAAAGTTAGGTAGTGTGAGGCATGGCCGAGCAAAGTGTTTCGTTTCTGCCTGGGATGCACTGCATGTGCAATCATCCTCAGCACGCGTGGGTGCCAGGCATCATTGACAGCTTTGACGGCAAGCACGTGTCTGTGAGCACCATGACCCCTGCGAAGGAACAGGTGTCAAAACTTCTTCCGGATGACGTATTTGTGTGCGAAAAAAACGTCGTGGACGAAGACGTTCACGATCTTTTGAATCTTTCCGTGCTGCATGAAGGAACGCTTTTGAACTGTCTAAAGAGCCGCTACTTTCGTGACGTGGTGTATACAAACATTGGAGCGATTATATTGGCACTCAATCCCTTTAACTTCAACATTCCATGGTACATGGAGAACAAGATGTCGGATTACCTTGCGGAGGGCGAAACCATCCAACACAATATTCCCCACTCATGGGTGGTGGCACACTCGACATACTACGAAATGCGGCGTGATGGTGGGAATCAATCCGTTCTTGTTTCAGGGGAGTCGGGTGCGGGAAAGACGGAGGCAGCAAAGATTGTCATGAAATATCTCGCCGCCGTCAGTGCGCTTAGCTGCACCGAGGAGGAAAAAAAGACCGGGGAGTTTGTTGGACTACGCATGTTTCAATCTAACCCCATTCTGGAGGCGTTTGGGAACGCCAAGACAGTGCGCAATGACAACAGCTCTCGCTTTGGGAAACTTATGCGCATTAAGTTTAACCGAAAGGGATTGTTGACAGGGGCAGATGTGACAAAGTATTTACTGGAGAAATCACGCATTGTAACTTCAGCCCCGAATGAACGAGTTTACCACGCCTTTTATCTTATTCTGCAAGGTCGGGATAGGGAGCGGTACGGTCTTGCCGAGCTCTCACGGTACCGTAACGTTATTGCCGGAAAGGCACCCACTATTGAGAACGTGGACGACGCAGAGGAATACGATTCCGTGAACAAGGCGATGGAAATTTGTGGCATTTCTCAAGCGAACGTGGACTCGGTGTGGCGTTGCGTAGGGGCCGTGATGTCGCTACTCAATGCGGAGTTTATTGCCACAAGTACCGACACATGTGCGATTGATTCAAAGACAAATCATTACATTGCGAATGGTTGTCGCCTACTCTCCATCTCTGAAGAGGAGCTAAAGAAGGAGTTAACGACGACCACGCTCATACTACGTGAGGGACCGGTACCTACCACACTCACAAAAGCTAAGGCAGATGACGCTAGGGATTCACTATGCAAAGCCCTCTACGATAATCTTTTTGACTTTCTTGTGAACGCCATTAACAAAACAATAGACACGGAAGACTACACAAGTTGGGTGGCGTTGCTAGATATATTTGGATTTGAAGACTTTAAAGTAAACTCCTTTGAGCAGCTGTGTATCAATCTTACGAATGAAACGCTGCAGAGGCACTACAATTATTTTATTTTTTCGCGGGATATGGATGAGTGTCGTCAGGAGGGAATTGATGTGACGGCAGTTGTCTTCCCTGATAATAGTGAATGCGTGGAATTGATTGGGGGCAAGGGTGGTATTCTTTCGATACTGGACGAAGACTGCCTCTTGGCGAAGGCAACGGATAACAGCTTTCTTGATAAGGTAACTAACGCGTTTGCCGGCAAATGTCGTTTTTTTGAGAGACCACGTTTGGCCAAGGCGCCTTGTTTTCGGATTGTACATTACGCAGGGACGGTGACTTATGAGGTGGATGGCTTTATTGAAAAAAACCGTGACACCCTTAAGGATAGCTTTAAAATACTGCTCAATACCAGTGGGGATGCTCTGGTTCAAACTTTATTTCCCATGCCAAACCCAGAAAGTCGAGTGCGTTATACTGTCGGTGGTTTCTTTCGAAATCAAATGAAGGAACTTATGGTGGTGATAAACGCCACAAATCCACATTGGATCCGTTGCATCAAACCCCACCCTGCAAAGAAACCATTACATTTTGACGGTGTGCAAACATTAGCGCAACTACGTAGCTGTGGTGTGCTTGGTACTGTGCAGATTCGCAAGGCAGGGTATCCCATTCGTATTCCACATGTTGAGTTTGCAAGGAAAAACAAAGTTCTGGTACTCTCTGAGGCGCTGGACTTTAGCGACGCCTTGGGGGTGGCGCACGCTGTTTTGAAAAGCGTTGGATTTGACTCCCGAAAGGCACAAATAGGGAAGTCGCGTGTCTTCCTCAAGTCCGATGCATATCAGCAACTGGAGGTCGTGAAGAAGCAGCGTCTGCAGGTGTTTTTGAGAGTGGCAGTGGGTGGCGCTTTGGTCTCTTTGGCACGAATGCGCACCGCGGCTTTGCTTCGCCGTCGCTCCACGGAGATTGTTGAGGTCTTCCTCCTGTGGCGGAACAGCCAACAAATTTATCGCAAGAAGGAATACAGTTTTCGTAGGGAAGAAATTATTTCGAATATTTTTCAACTATTAAAGTTGCAGAAAAATGAAATGGAGGCGAGAAATGCTTTTGTGGAGGAACGCGAGAACTTCTACAATGATATTACGGCCAAGCGCAGTCGGCTTTTGGAGGAATTATACGAGCAGTGGCTTGCCGAGAAACCGCACCATGACGCTATGGCACTGGAGGCTTTCATTGCGGCTGAAGAATGTTCTCGCAAGGAGATGATTTCTGACGCATTGAATGAATTACGTCAAACACTTGTGCTTCTTGAGGAAGACTACGATGCCTCAAGGAGGCGTGAAGAGAAACGTCTGGCTACGGAATTCGCATTGGAGGCGGCGGCGCAACGAGAGGCGCAGAGACGTGAGGCAGAAAATGCTCGTCTAGAGGAGGAGAGACGCAAGGAGGAGGAACGTTGCCTTGCCATTGCATACTGGGATGAAAGAAAGAAGTCAATGGAGCAACAGGTGGCACGACGTGAAGCGGAACTGAAACGCTTGCGTGAAGGTGTTTTTGATGCCATGACGTCGTTGAATATTTCCCTGGCGCTTAAAAAACAGGAGCCTGTGCTCCAGGCACGACAGCGGGCTGAGTATCCAACAGCACAATTTCGCTCCTGTGGTGTTGATCTGCTACGGGATCCCAGCTTGGGCTTGTGTGGATTGCAAGATGGCGTTACAGCATCACCCTTCAGCAGTGCCTATAACAATGTCAAGAAGGCTCCGCTTCGCAGCTGCTCTCGACGGGAGAATATCACTAACGAAGATAAATTCAAACAAATGGATTCATTTAGTGAGAAGGTACGACTGGGAAAAGAACGTGTTTGCCCCGGTCGTACCGGATCACTGGATATTGTGCGTCGCCTTCGCCATCTTCAGGCAATGGGTGAAAAATCGTTTGTCACCAAACCTGGCGACCTGGAAGATTCATTGGATCCATATAGTCCGAATTGGAAGCCACCCATAGACGGCGTTGTGAGGTTTCCAGACGGTTTCTCCTGCAATTTGAGAGAAGCCGCGTTGAACGGAATATCAAATCAAAAATCCGAGCGATGTGACGGCACCAGTGGGCGTGGTCGCTACATATCGCAAAGTACGATGGACTTTGGTTTTTGACTGTTTTTTTTTTTTTGTGTGTGTTTGTGTGTGTCTTTCCGTCTGTCCTTCTGTCTTTTTACCTTTTTCTTTTTTTTTTTTTTTTTTTTTTTTGGGGGAGGAAATTTGGGAAGGTTGGATGTCGGGAAATGGGGAGAAGTACACACGCATGATGTTTGCCATGCTTTTGCCAGAGACAGTTATCGTTGTGGTGATTTTAATTTCTTTTCAGGGTCCTCATTCCTCTCACTCATGCCGTGTGGTCTGTCCCGGTGGCATTTATTTATGGTTGAGCACAAAAAAAATATATATATTTTTTTTTCTCCCTTTCTTTAAACTCATTTATCGTCGCAAACGGGTGCATCTCTTTCTTACCCCAAGTGCTGTATTTCTTTTTTCTTTTATTTATTTATTTATTTATTTATTTATTATTGTGGTTGGGTGAATATACGACGATTTAAAAAATTGAATGATACGAGCCAAACGGTGACGTCAACTTTTACAACTTTTGTTTTGTTGTTGTCGATTGGCTCTTTGCGGTTTGTGTCACGTGAAATGACTGTTGCATGTCGTGTTTGAATTATTATTTTTATGGAGGGGGTCGCGTGTTGTTTTTTTTTTTTCTTTTGTGTTTGTTTTACCCGTTACTTTTTATTTTTTTATTTTTATTTTTATTTTTATTATTTGTTGGTTTTATGAGAAGCATTCGCCCTGTGGCGACATTTACCGCCCGGATAGAAGAGCAGCACACGGCGTGCATCAAAGAATAAAAAGGAGAGAAGGAAAGAAAATAAAATAAAACCAAAAGAAGGGATAAAAGGAGTTCAACAAACTCATACACACACAAAAGAAAGAAACAGAAACAGAAACAGAATGTATCTGTACATGCATCCCACGCGGTGGAGCCGGCAACCTCTTTTTTTGGGTGTGTTTCGCACCTTGCCGTTATTTACATCGTCAAGATTATTTGTAACGGGAAGGGCAAATACAATAACGCCTATTTCGCCGTCGCATTTTAATCCTACGGGTGTGGGTGCGCTTCATCACAGCAAGCGGTTTGCATCCACAAAGCTGGCACGTATCTACACGATGGAACTCAACAAGGCCCGCAGTGACTACCGGCGCACGCCTACAAGGACGCAGCAGGAAGAGTGCCTTCGCAACGTTACGGGCACACCGTTGCATCTTATTCAGGGGCTCGATGGCAAAACAGTGGCACACTGTCTTTCTACCCTGGTTGTGCTGGACGCCCCACGAGATTTGGCGTTGTTGCATGACTGTGCCGTTTGGCTTTCCGTTCACCCCGATTCATTTTCTCCGCACTCGTTCGCACAATCTCTGTATTCGCTTGTTTGCCTAGAGTACCCTGACACCGCCACCGTCGTGCGATCTGTGCAGGACCGACTCCTGGCTGCCGCGAATGAAATGGCGCCGAGCAGTCTCTGTATGATTCTTGCCTCCGTGCTGACTGCAACTGCCGGTGCCGATTGTGTCACACAGGGTCCTGTTGATTTGTCAAATAAGCTTTCTGATCGTCTGTTGCGTGTCGTGAATGATGGTTTGGGATTAACAGAGAAGGTAATGATTGCGGTTGCTCTCGGTAAGCTTTCTGGGCGAGCGTCGACAAGTAGCGTTCTCTCTAGCCATGTCGTATCACAGCTTTCTGCTGCCGTGTGGGTCAGCATCCCTGGTGCCGAGTTGGCGGTTGTCTCACTAGCGGATCTCGTTGGGCTTCTTTCCGCCGCGCACACCGCGCCAAACTCCATTCGGGAAGTCGTCGAAAGGGCACTTCTTGACGAGCTTAAGGTTCGTGTGGAAAAGGAGCCACTGGTTTCCGCAAGGAGTGCCATTCTCATGGCACGTGCCCTCAAGCTTTTTTTGAAGAATGAGAATCCTTCTGCCAAACCATTGTGTGGGAAAATGCAGGTTGCCATTGAGGCTTACATTGGCAGTGAGGCAGCCACGCTTGATACAGCAACAAAGTTGCTTACAGAGCTTGTGGATATGGAAGAAGGACCCTTTGACTCGATCCCGTCTTCTTTACTGCGGTATTTGGTGAAAGCCATCAACGAAAGGCGGGAAAAGTGGAGCTCCGAATCGGTACATGTGGTATTGAGGGTTTTAAACAAGATAGACTTGTTTCGCGCCGACGCACAAGCTCTTGCCACACAGTGCGTTGACTTTATTCAGGCAAAATTTACTACCGGTGCACCGGTGGATGCGGGCGAAGTTGCGGCACTTCTTGTGGAGGGTATAGTGGATCCTCATGCGGAGGTTTTGGCCTGAGAAAGTTGCCGGCAACATTAGCAGA